TCTGAGAGTCAATAGTCATGCCAATGTTCTCTAGAAAATCTCATTAAATATCTAAGAAATTTTTACTTTCCAATTTCACATTAGGCATTTTTTGGGGGTCCAAAGATAGCAAGTTCCTTAACATGAAGATGTAATATAATAAACCTAATAAACTATGTTTTGCTGCAAACCCATGTGCCCAGATTGAAATGTAGTCCTTCTGGGAGCTCAAATTACTTGATTTCCCCTAAATAGATACGCATATGAACTGAGGAAAAAGGAAGAATCTTGTGAAATAAAAGGTTTGTTCCCTTACAGGTCAAGGGTATAGGTCATTGTGTCATTTCTGCATCCCCAGCACTCCCTAGTGCACTTTACTTAAATGCAGCAGGTACACAGTATCTATACAAACAAGGGATTAAGTTAGTTTTGACCTGTCAAGGAGTTTAGTCTGTTAGTGTCATTTTACAGAGGATGAAATCGAGGCCACAACATTTCAACGTGCTATGACTATATATCCAACTTTTGTATACAGTTAGGATTATAACCCATAATTCTTAGTTCCAGTGGAGAACTCTTTCTTTATGTAAGAAAAGTAAGTAGCATTTATTGAGCATTTACTATGAACAAAGCACTTTGTATACATGATGTCACATCTTTGGGAATAAACCTCCCAAAGATATACTATTCCCATATTTTAGATGAGGAGACTGAGGTTCAAAGAATTGAAGTGACTTACTCAAGGCAATGTGCTGGTTAGCAGAATGGCTAAGATTCAAACTCTAATCTGTTCGCTTTCAAATCCACTGCCTTCCAAATCACACCACATTAGCATTCATATGGCATTAAGTACTGATCAGAGAAGGAATTATGTGGGCTTGCTAAAGAAAGCTAAAATATTTTATCATTTTACTTTGTAAAATGTCAGCTCCCCCTCCCCAAAATAAACTATCAAAATGTATAGCCAAGTCAAGCATTCATAGCCAACCTGTCTGTAACGTCAGATTTGTCAGAAAAGGAACATATTCCTAAAGAACAACTGAGCTGAAAGCTGAATGATCACAGGTTACCTCTTGCTCACTGAATCACCAGGTGCAGATTCCATGTCTCACTGAAGATGAAGAGGTGGGTGGATGAGAGAACAACCAAATCACTACTTAAGGTAAAGGGTGCAATGTGACAGGCACATGTTAATGTCCTTGCTTTTCTACAAGGAGACGGAGCTTCCAGCTAAGAGTACGTCCTCCTCCACCATCATCAGAAATTAACTCAAGATAGGATTATCCAAAATTCAGATTCCAAAAGGTCTGAGTTTTTCTGTTCTACTCTAAAGTCCATTGGAAAAGCCCTTCTGTGCAGTTTGGGAGTAGCACCATTCTGGGTGACAGTCTCTGCTCTGCCACTGACCTCCTGTATCTGTTTGGCAATTCATTTAGCCTTTTGGAACCTCAGTTTTCTCCTGTATGTAATGACAATAATAACACGTACTCTTGACATTTCTGTGAAAAATAAAGTGAGATGATGAATGTATGGCATCTACCCCAAAAGTCAGCCCAGTTTGGGACTCAATATTGGGTGATAAATGTCAAGTCCCAGAACATCTAGAAGCAAAGAGGTACAGAGAAATCAAGCAGTCCCTCATGTGCTATGATAAATGGAACATTAAAGCTCTCATCACAAGTCAAGTAAAACCCTCTGTGAACAAATCTGGTAATACAGTTGCCAGTGAGAAAGGGGCAGAGTGGCGAGCTGAAATATTAAAACTAACTTTGGCATAAAAATATGAAAAAGAGATATTAACACTTGTCACCTACTTACTACCTACAAAGGAATTTATGGAGATTAATGCTGTAGCACTTTAAAATCCCTTGGAAATAAGAAATAAACACATACACCATTATGCATACATATAAAGGCAAATATATATTTTAACACTCTTAGGATTACTATATAAATTTAGATCAGGGCACAGCATGCCTGGGATGAGTAGGGTGGGAACAATATGTTCTTGCTTACGACACCAGGCTCATGACAAATGATTCATACCCAGCACCTTTCATGCCAGAAGATCCCCCCAGGTGTTCCACCAACTCTAGCAACAGTTTCCATCAATCGAGACTTCAGTACAGAGGAATCATATCACACCCACAGATGAGGCAAAACAGACATGTCTTTATACAACTGCTCAAGTCCAACAGCTGAGGGGGCAGGAAAGAGAAGGGAAGGAGGTGAGTGAACCATCCAGAATTCCTCACCAGATTGACAGGCAGCCTATAATTATCATGCATTTGCACCTTGAAGGCAGGTGTTGTCATAATCAGAGATTCTTCTCAGCAAAAGCTTTTTGCTAAACATGAGAGGGGTTTGCAGGATGTGCACTGCCTGTGGCCCTGAAAGGGTTTTGGAGCAGATTTATAGGGGAAGACATCTAAATGTGAAAAGAGATGAGTCCCCCCAAATCCCCCCCTAAACCAGGCCTTCAGGTTTAGATGAGCAGATTTTCCACTCTGGGGTAAAGCGAACTGTTGCGAGAATTCCAAACAGGTGTGTGAGGCTTTCAGGTCACACTACCCTCTTATGTATAGCCTGGCTCCTAATTCTCTGCTGTTAATCTGACAGGCATTGCCCCCGCTTTACAGATCAGAAAATCCACATTCAGAGGACACTAAACTTGCTCGGATCAAACCACAAATAAGCAGAACTGGAATCAGGTCTCCACTCTGCTTTGCATTCTACAAAACTGCCAAAAAAAGTTTCTTTCTGCTTTCTTTTCCTTTAAACATATTTTAAACTCTCTCTGAGTCTGGTCCAGATACGTAGGACTGGCTTTGTTTTAGAGGACATGGATAAAGACTATTTCTCTTTCTCCACTATTTGCATGTATATACTTAAAAAAGAAAAAGTAAAAACACCTTTGTGTGTGATGACCAGGGCACAGACTGGGTCAGGAGAGGTCTTTATGAAATAAGAGACTTCAGAGGGCAGATATCTCACCTCATTCGTTAACATGATTGGAGTGATCAAAACTTTTAACAGTCATCTCCTTATTTCCAACATTATCTTAGACCCGCAGCCATGTTCAATGCCCTGACCCTAATAAGCCCTACTAGAATTTTAAGCACCATTTATTATTATTTTTTTAATGTTGGCAGTGCTTGGCACCATTTCCTAAATGGAAGTTAAAAATTTGCCAAAGATGTATTCTACTTTACTTTCTTTCCAACATCTTTCAAGAGATGAGCTAAAAAAAGAGGTCTAATGGGTGAGTGATATTTTACAGCTTGAATTACATTAAAAGCCAGAAATATTTTGAGTCCAAAGTCTTTTACTTCTTAATACAACAAGAGCTAACATGTTTGATGTGTTTAAAATCTCCCCTGAAAGCCAGAAGCTTTGAGTTAATCACTTAAAGCAGTGCGAAAGTTATTCAATCAGTTTAAGAAGATTCAAGTTCAAATTAGAGGATTAATTTTAGTGGCTACGATATGAGAGATACAATAGTTAAGGTAAGGAATGAGGGCAAGGGTCTCCAGAACCTGAATGGAAAGAAATTCAGCTTCATTTATTTGATCAAACCACTCCTGAGAGAACTATGTTAAACCACAGCCTCTGTCATGAAAGATGAATTGTAGGGAAAACGCTGCTCCTACTCTCGGAACAGAGACATCAATACAAAATATTATCTATCATGATATGCCTTAATACAATTTATATCTATGGACCCAAGGAATTAATAATGACAGACTAGTGTTTTAAAATGTTCACAACTCACATTAAAAAGCTGACAATGAGCACGACTCACTAAAGTGGCACTTCTCTGGGAAGGTTTCTGGCAATTACATCACAACCGAAAATGTGTCTAAAGGTACCAGGCTGCATAGATTGTGCATATCACAAACACTATAATCTCAATTACCTGGTTGAAGCTGTAAAAGTTGGAATATTTCCCCCCATTTTACCCATCCTTGGTTTTTATGCTCTTTGCTGCTGCCTGGAGAAGTTTCCACACTTTAAAATCATTTTTAGTTATTGCAATCAAAGCTAGTTATTTACTATTTCAACTCATTGAAGTTTCTAGGTTCAATTTCAACGGGAGTAGCTCCCTTGGATTGCAGACATGCAAGCTTTTCTGAAAATCTAAAACCTTTCCTGATATGACCAAAGCTCATGGACTTGCATCCTAAGTCCCTGGAATCCAGCCTCCTGGAAGTCAGCAAGCTCTTTCCTGCCTTCATAAAGGGAATGTTAAGTCTTTATCTGTGTTCTTCATTAGAGGAGGTCAGGCAATGGGGGAGAACAGGGAGTTGTTGTCACTGGGATATATCTGATCTTCCTGAGACTGACCATGCCGGAAAACAACCGCTCATTCACGGGCTGGAAAGCCCCAGTTCTCAAAACACACTCACTAGTGCTGTTAGAAGATGCTGGAGAGTTCCTGCCCTGAAACTTGCATCCACTTGGTCCCCTAAAGCAGAGGAGCCACTAAAGAACACCTTATACTCTCCACTGCCGTTCTCCTCCCTTGTGGGGAAGAAGGGGTTAGGAGCTCTGCATGAAATTAAAAATAAAATAAAATAAAACGCCTACATATATGGGTCTTCTTAATCTTCCTTGAGCCAGTACATAAGTCTGGCAAGTAAAGGGAAAGTCATCTGAGGAAATGTCAGCCTGCCTGGAAATTTAACCCTTTCATTTCTGTATTAGGAGTACTTTAACCCCTCTGTTTGCCTGGTCTTCGGTTCCACACACCAATGCGACCAAGGCAGCAGGAAACAGAAATTTGACTTGTTGGTTTGAAGCTGTGGCATTTGGAGAGGACCCTGATGATGTTGGTGGGTGAGAGAGGTAGAGGCTGGTCTCCTAGTAGGTGATGTTAACTCTTGGGGGAAGTAGGCAGAGACTAATTTGCAGCATCTCCCAAGTCCAGAAACCCCATTTCCTCCAGTTCTCCATCAGATCACACAGCAGACTTTAACCCTTTCCGTCTTTCCACCCCTTTGCCCTCAGTCCCATCTACTCACGCTGCTGTTGTGGCCAGACCAGTGGACCATGGCTTGGTTGTGTGCTGAGTCTCCGGTCAGCGCAAATGTGGTGCTGGTCAGTCTCAGCTCCTCCATCCGGAAGCGGGTGGCTTTGTCCGGGTCCTGCTCCCGAGTCCCAGGCTCCTGCTGCCCTCCATCTCTTAGCACTCCCCGGGGGCTCCGACTCGCGCCCCCTCCCAGTTCTGCCTTCTCCTGATCCGCTCCGCTCCGTCTCCTCCGGCTGGAGCGTACAGCAGCCGCCACGGATGCCCCAGTGCCCCGAGCCCGCTCCAGGGACAGTGCTCGGTCCCCGGGGGCCACTGAGAACAGGGGGCGCACTACGAGGGGCAGGGGCGTGGCAGGAGCCCTGCCTGGCGGCCCCTGGTGAGAAAAACCCCTATGGGTCGAAGCCGAGCGTGCGGCCGAGCTGGGGTGCGGCGAGGGGCAGCAGGAGCCGCCGCCGCAGACGCCTGGGGCGCAGAGGACCAAGAGCCCCGCGCCGGCGAGGAGCGCGCTCAGCCGGGCTGGCGAGCCGCCGCAGGCGCCAACTTTTCCCATCGCGGGAGCGGAGAGCAGCGGAGAGAGGGGTCCCAGACCGAAGGTGACGGCGCGGGACTCTGCACTGGCGGCTGTGGGGAGCCGGCGCTCAGGACCCCAACTCCATCCAAGTTGGGCCGCGGTGGGGGCGGGCGGAGGCGGCTCCGGGCAGGTGGCCGCCGCTTGCCCGGGCTGGGCTTGTGCCGAGCGCGGGTCCGGACGGAGCGAGCAGCCGCCGCGTGGGGGTGGAGCTGAGCTGAAGTCACTGGCGGAGCGGGAGCTGGCGCTGGCGGGCGACGCGGGAGGGAGGGCGGGCGCTGCCGGGGCTCCGGGCGCCGCGTCCCGCGGCAGCGCTGCGCTGCGCACCGGGGCTCCGGGCGCTGGAGGCGCCACCGGCGACCTCCCCTCAGCCTCGCCGGCGCTGCCGCCTCCTCTCCTCTCCGCCCTCTCTGCGCCCCCGCGGCCGCCGGTCCCGGCGCTGAGTCCGCGCACCCTGCCCGCGGGGGCAGTGAACCCCGGGCTACCGGAGCGGTCGCTCAGTCCGGAGCTTCCAATTCCTGCTTAATTTTTTCTATCAGTCTGTGTTGCTGTTTCCTTTTCTCTCTCTCTCTCTCTCTCTGGTCTTTTCCAGTTGAGGAGATAGGGATGGGTGGGCTTCTGCTCCTTCCTTCTCTTACGCTTCCTGAGTTGGCATCTTGACCTTACCCGGAGCAGAGCCTGTGTGTCCCAGCCTGGGGGAGATCCCGGAAAGACAGCAGCAGAGAGTGATGTAATTAAATGATCTCGTGTGTGTGTGTGTGTGTGTGTGTGTGTGTGTGTGTGTGTAGTTTGGGGAATTTTTTTCTCCATCAATTAAAAGGCTTAGATTTCTCTCCTAACCTTCTAAAGCATTCACTGAATTTGAACCTAATTTTCCTGCATGCAATCATAGGTAAGAAAACACTTTCCTAAACCTAAGGTTCCACTACGCGGATATATCTTGGTTTCCCTAAGAGACTGCAAACTCATTGCGGACAGGAAGATCAAATTTCGAGCAACTTGGAGGAAGTGACCTGTTTTTTGTTTACCATTTTATCCTCAGTACTTGGCACAGTACCCTACATGGGAAGAAATTTGCCAGTCATTAATTCAATAAATATTTATTGTGAATCTAATACATATCTGGATAACAAATAAATACAGGAAAAGAGGCACAGTACTCAGAGTTATTCTGTGTCATTCGGTGCCTGGCCCAGTGCTGCTGTATCCTGCTTTGAGATCCCTATCAGCAGCTCTGTGATGGTGCTCTGCCACTGGTTTGCTTTGGGACCTGAGACAAATCGCAATCTCTCAGATTCCTAAGCGTTAAAATTAAATGGTCATATTAGATGACCTTTAAAATCCCTTCTGCTCCTAAAATTATATAATTGTATGATTATAATATTTGCCTAGCCTAGCACCCCTGCTACTGTTCATAAGTTCAGATGAAGATTTATAGCAGGTGAATGGGCTTTGAAAATTGCAAAGAATTTCTCAAAATCCAATCCTTTTTTTCAAGTAGACAATTTGCTTCTAAGCGTTGAAATGGTTTCACATTTCTTTGCAGTCTTCATATACGTAATATTCTCTTATGTACATAGTTTTTACGTTGTTTAATGAATATTTACTGATTGAATAAATGAATGACACAACAAAATAGTACCGATTCCGGTTTCTAATTACAATTCTGTTCATTTTCACACTTAGAATGATAACGTCACTGAAAAATGTGAATACTGTGTTTGTGATGAGGCCAAGTTCAAAGTAATATAGAGTGATAATTATTCTTCAATTAGTGAAATTCTTTCTAATGTTGCCCAGGAAAACTTCTGTGGTATCAATCCAATCCAGAGAGGTGTTATAAAATATTGATCTAAGTTATTGTTCTTATGACCAACGCAGGAAAAGTGCAAATGCAAGGAGGGCAGGCTTCTCAGCCAGTAAATTTGAGTACATAAAAGGACAAAAGAGTGTCCCGATTGTCATTAAAGAAAAAATACAAGCAAAATCACCTTTATGCCTGGATCCTCCAAAACAGAAATGGCTGTCTGGCAGGCTATGGCCTCTAGATGGAGGAGAGGAGAGCCAGAGGTCTTCTCTTCTCCCCAAATTGCAAATGTTCTTTGTCAAAACCCAGAGCGGTCGTTTTTTCTTTCCTCAGAAAGGTTTTTAGAGCTTTACAGGATCATTTGCTTAATGACTTCTTTCTATGCCCTGCTAACCTCCTTTCCAGTCTGGATAAGTACATGGGAATTCCTCCAAGAAAGGAAAACCAGATTAAAGAATCAGAACCCAAATAAATTCTCATCTAAATATAGGGCAGAAGAAGCAAAATGGAAGAGAAGAAATTAGTGGATTCAGATTTCCTGGCCTTAGTCTATTATTGCCCTACCAAAATGTATGGTATTTTGGTTTCAAAATGGAAGCTCTTCCTGAAGAATGCTGGTACAAGTACAGTTGATTTTTTTTCCTTCCCAGAACCTACAACCTCTTTTTGAATGATCCCTTTAAAGTGAAAGCATTTGCAGTCCATTTGCTGGGAATTCATAGAGAGCGGGCAAGTTTTTACTGCCTGATTTTAATTATTCATTTGAGACAGAAGTTACACAAATGTGGATGATATTGGCTCCAAGTAGTATTGTTCATACATAGGTAGACAGATTCATTTTCTTTTTTTATGGCCCTGCCCCTATTTACTTTTGCCAACAAGCAGAAGAGGAAAGTACCAGTAATTTCCTCAATGATTCCCTTTTTCCAGAAGACTACAGTAAATAGTCTAATCATGGAGGGAAGTCTATTTCAAGATGTTTCAACCCAACAACCCACAAAGCAATTCAATAGATTTTTATTAATAAATATAATAAGAATGAGTCATTTATTAGGAAAGTAATTGATACGAAAGGCTAGTAGATAAAATAAATCTGTAATTCCAATAAGTAGTGCTTTCGTTGTCTACGTGACGAATATGCCATGACTTAGTCCCAGTTATCATCATTTCTCACCAGGACTACCACAACAGCCTCTGTGGCTCCCTGTATGCCACAATTGCATGACTCTATTCCTTCTCTCCAATAATTGTCTCTAAAGATGGCACAGGTCCAAGGGCACAAGCAGACTGAGGTCATCCAATTTTGTGCAAGAGGAAAATAATAGAATTTGATGTCTTTAATTTTAATCAGAAATATTAAAATTTAGCCTTGCTAAAATATTTATTAATTAATGTGCATATGTTACATAGCTTTATATACAATATAAACATGTGTGTATATGCATATACATATATACATCGACGTGTAAAGAGAGAGACAGAGGCAGACAGAGTAAGAAGCAGAGACAGAAAGACAAAGAAAGAATATGAACATTTAGTCACCGTATACTGATTGGTGTGCACAATCAAAAGTATGGACACTGTCCTACAAAGCAGCAAAAGTAGTCTTTTAAAAGGAGTATAAAAAATATACTTCCTGCCAGCTTCCCATCGCAAACAGAGTAAATCCAAGTTTTCCATAGCTGACCAGGTACTCACTTCTGAATCACACTTGGCAGGATTCTGTAGCCTCATCCTAATACCTCAACCATCGGGGGCTATCCTTTCCTCGGATGTGCCTAGCTTTTTCCAATTCACAACCTTTGCACATTCTGTTCCGCCTCCCTAGAATGTCCACCCTCCATCCCCACATCACATCGCTGACTCCTCTTGTTTGAGATCTTCACTTTCAATATACAACCTTAGAGAGACTTTTCCTGACCCTCTCCCTAAAGAAGAAATTTATTCCACATTTTCTGTATCAGTTCTTACCAGATAATTCTTAGTGTATATTACAGCATTTAATTATTTTACTTAAACCTGTTTTTTGGTAGTAACTTCCAAAGAAAATCTGCATGTGGATAAGGCTGTATCTTCCTTATTTTCAACTTCCTTTTCAACATTTCTCCCAGTGCCTAGCTTATTAAGTGACCAATAAACAATGGCTGGCCAGCTGGGTGGCACCCGTATAACAAGCGTAGGGACACAACTCTTAATAACTTATATTTTGTCAATCAGATATATACTCTATGCCAGAAACTATGCTACCGAATTGAAAAGGCTCGTGCCTTTTTCTTTTACACGAAGTCAATCTCAGATAAGTACTACCATCTTTCCCACCTCACAGGTGATATTAAGTAACGATCCAGAGTCACACAGCAATTAGTGCAAAGAGAAGGCCTCTACAAGGCAGTCTTATTCCTAGAATGTTCTTGATTTTGTGAAATAGTTTCTACTTTAAATCCAACTAATAACAGATCATACTTATTGATGATTTTCTATGTGCCAGGCACACTAATTAGTTTGAATCATTTTTAGTAATGTTGAGCAAGCAATTAGGAGAACAAGTGCTCATGTTTTTTTAGGCCGAGGGGAATATATGTGTACTCCATTTCTATTTGCTTTTATTTTGTGTGGGTAAGTAATGTTAAAGAGAGTGGTATATCCACTCCCCACATAATCTTACATCATAAGCTACAGGTTAACTGCCTCACTGGTTTTTTGTCTTCCCTTCTTCCTAAGTCTCTTTGATTTCTGATGGTTACTTTGGCTTCAGTTTGCACTAAATCACTTTATACGCCTCATCATTTGAATGATGTCTTAATAGTTCTCAAAATACTTGGCTCCCCTTGGATACCATTGAGACAAGGTGTCTTGTCTTGCATTTTAGATCAATTTCATGAAGAACCACAGAAAGAAAACTGGGGAGAATAATGTGCAGGCTATTCTCATTGCCTGCCAACAGAAGGTGGAATTTTTTAAACCGCCCCTTTAAATACTTTCAGTTATCAACCAATACACACCTACCTCTGAATCTAGTCATTGTATCTCTTCTCATACACTCAATCTAAGTGGTACCAGTAGGAGAACATAAGCCCTCTTATCTTTAAAATAGGGCTAAGATTATCCACCTAACTCATAGGATGTTATGAAAGTTAATTCAACTTTGGACACCCCTTGGGAATAACAAACTGTCTTGGATTTGTGTAACTTCTATCTCATCACGCCTCTGAACAGTTTTTTGTTTTGCTTTTCTCCCCCCTAGTTTAATAAATCTTGCAGCAGCTCCAAAAGATAGGTAGGGGGCAGTTTTTGCCTGTATCTTACAGAATGAAAAGAAATTTATCTAAGGTCACAGACTTAGAGACAAGACTTAGAACAGTTTTTTTTTTTTATCCTTCCCCCCCACTATCTTGTCCAATTCTGTTCCCTATTTGTACATTCATGTATTAATATTCCACATTATTTTTGTTTAGCTATGATGCAGTGCTTATACAATCATTTCAGGTTTCAAAGGATGGTTTGCATAATTAAAAAGGAAAAGAGAAGCATGAAATAATATCACTGTCATTATGTAAACTCACATACGCATATATATTTTTCCAATTTAATATTCATACTTAAAGTGAAATAGATAAAAATATACTATGATTAAATAAGTTTATTTAAAGATTGTATTATTAGATTTTTTAAAATATACTTTTACCAAAAAGTCTGTGAACACATG